GCTACACCTTGATCTAAAGGCAGCCGGGAGGAGACTGATTCCATACTGCGGGGAGCTTGGGCGTCCGGAACCTCAAAGTCCGCCCACAGCGACGTGCCTCCTCCAACAAGGCCACGCCTCCTCCTCCTGTAAGTGATAATGCTGCTCCCTATGGCCAAGTATTGAAATACGTGACTACCACGCTGGGTCTCAGCAATGACCTATCCCATAAATGGAGAGGTCCTCAGGTAAGTATAAAATAAAGACTGAGGCCAGAGCCTCGGTAGTAAGGGACTGAAAAGCAGGCATCTGAAATCCAAGCTTCACTTTGTCCTCTTCCTGGAATAGGGGTGGCTGACTCACGAAACCAATGGGGTACAGTGGTACACACCTATTACCCCAATACTGGGGTAGCTGAGGCTGGAAAATCACAAGTTTGACATCAACTTGGCTGTATAACAAGACCTTGTCTCAAACAAAACATGGAGTTAACAAAACGCATGGCCTCCTGCCCACTGCAATGCACCGCCAGCAGCCCCGGTGTGATTCCAAATGCCGGGAGCGCCACCTGCTGCTCAGATCGTGGAAAGGCTGGTTTGTCCTTTCTCTTCGACACAATCAGGTTCTCTGTGAGATTTTAAGTGTTTTTTGAGGGTGTGTTTGTTGTAATGAAAACCCAAACTTAAGTTAACGCAAATACGTAAGAGATTCTCAGACTGATAATGGGGTCAAACTTGGTTCCATTATGAAGTTTATCTTGCATTTTAGGGAATGCTGGGAGAGTCGGCCAGAGGTGAGCTAACATCTTAAGGAAGCATTTACATCGACAGAAACCCTAGGATTCAGCTACAAGCTGCATGCTGGTCATATAAAGGGCTGTGAGAATGGAGGAAAGGTGTCCCATCATGTCACACACATATCTAATTCAGAAGAACCTGGGACAGAACAGTTAGGGTCGTGTTCACCGTGCAAAAGACAATTGTAAGAACACAAAACATCACTCAGTCCATCACGCTGACACAGATCATAGACGCAGCTTTATGTAAAGCTAAATTGCGATTTTCTTTTGTCTGTGTGATGGGCCATGAGTGACAGGAATAAGAAATGCACACCTGAGGCCCAGTGGTGGCCCATGCCTTTAATCCCATAAAGGAGGCAGAGGCAGGCGGATCTCTGTAAATTCAAGGCCAGCCTAGTCTACAAAGCAAGTTTCAGGACAGCCAAGGCTAAACAGAGAAACCTTGTCTTTAAAAAGAAAGAAAAAAGGAAGGAAAGGAAAGAAGGGAGGGAGGGAAGGAAGGAAGGAAGGAAGGAAGGAAGGAAGGAAGGAAGGAAGGAAGGAAGGAAGGAAGGAGGAAAGTTGCATCTGGTATTCTCTGAAATGTTTAACTTACAGTGGATAAAACGGTTTCATCCTTTCTAGTTTGTTTCTCTGGTTCTTTGTGTATCCGTCTCTCTGTTTCTCTGACTACTGTGTAGCTATTTCCTCTGAATTGAAACAATCCCCCTAAAGAAAGGAGGTAGTTCAAAAGACTCAAACTAATTAAATTTCCAAGTCTGGGAAAGTTACTAAAGTTACAAGACTCAAGAGGTGGGACTATGTAAAATGTAAGCTTGCTATTCAAGTGGTAAATACCAGGTGTGGACTCTTCAGGAGGGCTGCCTGCAGCTTGAGCAGGAGCTCCAGTGATACAGCTTCCCTAAGTTAGCACTCATGCCGCGGTGTGCTCCTCAGTGATGCAGTCATCTTTGAGACATACACACTCTTGTAAGTACTCCTCATCCATCCCAGTAAGTGTCCACCAAGCTAGACTTTGGTGGACTCATTTCTTGCTATTGGTGCTGCATCTGTTCCTATCTCTCCAGAAAAATCATAAAACATTCTCTCTCTCTCTCTCTCTCTCTCTCTCTCTCCCAACATCCTTCTCTCCTTCACTCCTTCTCTGTGGGTGTCACTCTGTCTCTATTTCTCTGTGTCTCTGTCTCTCCTGTTTCTCTCTATCTCTCTCTCACACACACTGCTATTTGATAGGTAAGTAGGTGGATGGATGGATGGATGGATGGATGGATGGATGGATGGATGGAAATCTTGGTTCCTTTTCCTGTTGCTATGATGAAAATACCCAGATAAAAGCAACTGAAGGGAGAAACGGGTCCTTTTAGCTCACAGTTCAAGGCCCAGGAGCTTAGAGCAGGTGCTCACCCCCCTCCCCGCCCAGTGAGGACAGAGAGGGATGAATGCAGCACTTAGGTCTCCCTTTCCCGAGTTTACATCCCATAGTCCCAACCAGAGATACAGTGGGTGGGCCTTCCCACCTCAGTCATTGTAATCAGGATAACCCACCCACAAAAATACCCAGAGGCCTATCGCCAGATGTTCTAGATTCTGTTAATTGGCAGTCAACATTAATCATCATAAATTTTTTTTCTCTAAAGAATTTTCTTTCTCTAAAGGGGGTGCTTACATGACTCACTGTTAATCTGGTTTTGGGACCTGATCATGCTGTCTCACAAACAACACGCAAGTTTCCATTCCTCATAATTACATCCATCTGTTGTAGTTCTTGGTGGTTCTAAAGGTCAGATAAGGCCATGATATTCCTGTGGACGGCCAGCTTCTGGTCCCTTCCAAGGGTCTGTCTTCTTTGAGACAGGGATTCCCAGGGCACATTCTTTTTGTGGCCGGTGGCAGAAGAAGTGGGGCCAAGCTGAATGAGTAAGTAAACTCACCACCTCTGGGCACTGAGTTAGGCACTTGAATCTCATTGGCTAAGGCAAATCGTATGACTACCTCCTTGCAGCAGGAAGAGTGGACATTTATGGTGGTCTCCCATCTTGTTCCCTCTCTTCACCTGATTCCAGTGTCTATTCTATTTGCCCTTCTGAATGAAAATTAAGCATCCTTCCTAGGGTCCTCCTTGTTATTTAGCTTCTTTAGGTCTGTGGATTATAGTATGGTTATCCTGTATTATATGGCTAATATCCACTAATAAGTGAGTGTATACCATGCCTGTCTTTGTGTTTCTGGATTACCTCAATCAGGATGATCTTTTCTAGTTCCCACCATTTGCTTGCAAATTTCATGATTTCCTTGTTTTTAATACCTGAGCAGTATTCCATTGTGTAAATGTACCACAACTTTCCTCTATATGAACCTCATCCATCCATGTACCCATCCATCCATCCATCCATCCATCCACCCATAGATCTGCCCACCTATCTACCAAATAGCAGTGTGTGTCTGGAGGCGGGTGATGTGTGTCAAACAAGTGCCTTGAGAAGTAAGCACGTGGAAATGTGTGCCTGCTGTGCCTGCTCTGGCCAAAAGAGGACCTGGTGCCCATAATCCCAGCGGGGAAGGGGGGACAGAGAGAGTAGGTCTATCACTTGTGGGAGGCTAGCCTGGGCCACAGAGAAGGACCCTGTCTCTAAAGAAAGGGAGACAAAGACAGAAACACTGAGAGAGGAAAGGTGAAGGAAAAGGAAAGGAACAAGAAATGAAAAGAGAAGGAATGGAAGGAGAGGAGACAGTAGAGGAAAGGAAGCAAGAGAGAAAAGGAGAGAGAGAAGAGGAGGGGAGAAGAAATGGAAGGAGGAGGAGGGGATCGGAAAGGGAAGGAAGAGAATGGGGGATGAGAAAGGAGTAGAGGGAAGAAAAGAGGAGAGGAAAAGGAAAAAGTATCAAGCCAGGAAGTGTGAGTCACCTTACAGGAAGTAAATAGGCCCCTTCCTTTTCGAAGAGACAGCCAAGCTGAGGAGAAAAGTGTGCAGCCCTTGAGCAATGCTTATGGGGCTGAGAGAACCAGGCCATGCAGTTCACAGTGTCCCCCAGGCAGGTGCAGAGAGGAAGCCCTTTGATCCAGGCAGAACCTCTGCTGGCTCTGTTCCACCTTGTATGCTCTCCTAAGGATGGTTCCCCCTGTGGTAACTTTGAAGCCAAGAGCACAGCAATAGGAATCACCCTCTTGAGTCCAGAGGTTTGGCTTTGGGCATTTGCTAGGAACAGAACCAGATTCACTTATCTCTCCGGGGGGGGGGGGGGGGGGGGGTGCCTTCTAGTTTTGTTTTGCTTAAAATATTTTCGCTTTTCTTCTCAAAGAGTACAAAAGTGAGGATCGGCCAGGGGCTACAGCTGGAGAGTGCCGTGCTGAGCCCCTCGGGAGCGCAGACACGTGAAAGCAGGGATATCTGCCATGGGTGCCTGCATTGCTTCCGCTGGGAACCGGCGAGTCTTTTGACCACGCCTCCTTTGCCCCCCCACCCCCGGCCAACGAGTTCAGTGTAATTCCTGCAGGTGACCTAAGATGGTGGCTCAGTCTGCAAAGCTCTCACCTTCCAAGCGTGAGATTCCGAGTGCAGTGCCCAGAGCCCGTGTTAAAGCTGGGCATGGCGGAAGGATGTGTCATCCAGTGCTGGGGGGGCAGCGGCAGGCGGGGGTCTGCGGCTCACTGGCTACCCAGCCTTGCCTGTTTGGTGAGTTCCAGGCCAGTGTCTTCAATACAAGATGGACGGTACTTGAGGAAGAGCACAAGCGTGTCCTCAGGCTTCCACATACATGTGCACCTGCACACACACACACAGGAACACACACAACCAGCTGCAAGAGAATAAGTATCTTCCTCTACAAGCATCTGCCCACGTCACAGGCCACAGCCTGGTCCTCTCCCTGACGTAAGAAGCATGGCTATTAGAAGCTCTTCCTGGAGAGCCCACGCCTCTCCGGTGATGGGATAATAATTCCTGGCTTCTCCTCCCTCCATTTCCCCTTCCCTCTCTACCTGGTGTGGGGGAGGGGGTCAATGCTTCTTTAACTCCCCAGAAAAGCAACGCAGTAAGAACAGAAGCTAGAGACAGGAACAGGAGTATGGGGCTACTCTGCACTGAGGGCGACCAGAGACAGCTAAGATATTTTTTTGTAAACCGAATAGTGATGGGGAAATCAGGCCTCTCCTGAGCCTCAGTTTCTCCATCTGTAAAGCAGGATGAGGACTGTCAACACAGAACACAACTCTTGCTCCCAAACAGAATAAGAAATTGTTTATTCTGAGCCAGCTGTGGGTGAGCCTGGCCTGGCAACAATACACACTCATTTTGTCCTAAAAGACACGTCCCAATCCTGGAAATGGTTACATGTTTGTTTTATTATTATTATCACCAGATAGAGCAAAGTAGCAAATCAATGAATTGACCAAATATACCGGGAGTGTGATCAGGTAGGCAGCGTAGGGCAAAGCAGAGATGTCTCCACTATAGGACTGGATGCTATCACAACGTAGCTTTGGATTAGTAGAAGCTAGTAGTCAGCTGAGTTCATACATTCCAACAGCTTTCTCTGTTGGGTCAGACATACAGTTTGGTGAGTCATAACTATTAAAGTGACGGAAGATAACCCAAGATAATTTGGTTCTCAACCTGTACGTTCCGATTCTCCATAATCATAAAGTTCTAAATCAGTCAGCTTGCAGACTCATCAAAAAAAAAAAAAAAAAAAAAAGTGTTTCATGAAATTTCATTTCATAGACCATACTTACTGGTCTGTTCGCTGTTCTGAGGTGAAAACAAGATTTTAGCACAACTGTTGGAGGTTAAAGCACAGCTGGGGACCATCTTCCCCAGCTCTCCCCACCATAAATTGGGGCAGTTCTCTCTCTGTTACTCGGCAGTGTGTTTTACTGAGATAGAGAAGCCAGGATTCACCTCATTCTTTGTGTTGGGGAGCTCAAGCAATGGGAAGCACATTCATGTAGCCCACCATGAACTTGACTACAAGGAGGAAACAAAATTCATCATTATTATCACTTCCTCATTCATGGCAATTCTTACCCACAAAGTATTAAAGATTTTAGATATACAAATCTAAAAATAGCATACAGCATTCAACATTAGGACTTTGCTTTTTAAAACACTCTTTAAATTGTGCCAAGTGTCTCTTCTCTTCCTCCAATTCCGTGGAAAAGCATCTTGCACAATCTTGCTTGTAGACTTCCGCCCCTTCTCTGTCCTCCAGGAGAGCAGGCTGGAGAGATGTCCCAGACAGGATCATGACACCTGCTCTGCAACCTTCTTGTGCTGGCTCTGGGAGCGACCCTCGCTGCTGGGGGACCCCTCCTTCTGTGGGCTCACTGTGCTGGGATGCCCAGCCCTCAAAATCCAGGGGTGCTGAAGGACCTGATGAGCCGTGTACCGCTTCTTGGGGTCCACCACCAGCAAATGTCTCACCAGATCTTTGGCAGCTGTGGCAGGGGGAGGGATTGGGGAGAGCATAGTGAGTGTTCCTTCCTTTCAGTCCATGAGGCAGCGGGAGTCCTCACATCACATTAGCATTGTGGGGTGTGCTCATTCAGAGCAGCGTTATCAGAAGACACCCCAGGCCCCTTCCAGCCATCCATGACCACTGAGCATTAGAGATCAGGTTAAGCTAAGGGAGGGAGATAACTTGAGTCTGAGGCTAGCCTACGTGAGGTACATAGTGAGTTCCCAGATAGCCTGGGCTGCAAAGCGAGGCCCTGTCCAGACAAAGAAGAAGGAAAAGAAAGGAAGAAAAGGACAGGAGAAAGAGAAAAGGAAAGAACAGCCAAGGGGAGGAAAGAATCAGGAAAGAAGGAAATGAAAGGAAAAGAAATAAGGTATAAAAAGTTGAAGGAAAAAGGAAAAGTCAGGGAGGAAGGAGAGAGGAAATAATCAAGGTAGAAGAAATGATGGAATGGGAAAGAAAGAAAAGGAGAGAGAAGAAAAGAAATCTGGCTAGTGGTGCTGAATAAAGAAAACCTTACTTTATTGACTCTGAAATTATACACATTTAGAGTTAGCTGTGTGTGGCCAGGGCTAGATAGCACAGATGAAGAGGACAGCTGCTCTTCCCCGCCCCCCCCCCCCCAGCTAGGTCCACCCCTAACATCCACATATCCAGGCCAAGGAAACAGAGATCATGTACCACATCTATGTATTTTAAAGGTTTACATCAAACTGACAAAATTTTAAATAAAACATGTTCCCTTTCCTAAATAATAAATATTTCTGCATAGTAACAAAACTGAAAAACATGTATTTAAAAAAAAAACCTAAACAGTCACTAACACTAAATCAAATGAATTCCACTTCCTGCTTGAGTCCATGCTGATCCTAGAGAGTGGGGGAGACTGTTAGAAGCCAGACCCCACCTCCATGCCCACCCACTCTTACCCCCCAGGGACTTCAGGGGAAAGTGTCACAGATCTGGCCCTGCTCTTTGCAGTCTACCACTGACAGGCAGCTGCTGTAAAGAGAGTCACAGCAGCTGCAGCCTTCAATCCTCAAACTAGAAGCCCAGCCCCCTCTCCCTTGCCTGGGAATCAGAGGCAATCTGAATACTGGCACATAGTGTAGATTGCATATTAATTAAGCCTGCTTCCTCTGTCTCTCTGTCTCTGTCTCTGTCTCTGTCTCTCTCTCTCTCTCTCTCTCTCTCTCTCCTTTAAATGTAGAGACCTCCTTTGTCTGGTGGACCTTGGAGCCCTTGCTTCAGACCTCTACCATGCCATGCTTCTCTGTCTGTGGCTCCCTTGAAGGACATTCAACTTAGCTCCTTTCTCTCAGACCTATCCACTTCTCCTCTCTCAAACCCACTCATTTCTCTCGCTCTCCCCCAAACCTAGCAGGTAGCAGGGTGGTAGGTAAGCAGAAAAAGAAAAGAAAAGAAAAGAAAAGAAAAGAAAAGAAAGAAAGAAAGAAAGAAAGAAAGAAAGAAAGAAAGAAAGAAAGAAA